TTAGTTTTATTACTTTATTGCGACATGCATCCGTATATTTTAGTGCACCAATTAGGATTTATATACAAAACAAAATACCAACAGATTTGAACAGTGGCAACATTTATTAATGTATTTATTTTAACTACTTATTCATTTAATTTTTAAACTGACTTTTGTTTTTTTTGTCTGTGGAAGTGTCAGTCTTTTCGTCTTAACGCAATCACGACAACAGAAACAATTTAAATATTTCAAAGGTTTGTAAAAGTATTTTGAAATAAAAAATATATATGAACAAGATTTTTCACCAGCGAGCAATATATTAGTTCGTCATAACATCCTTATAGTTTTCAATACAAATACACATGTCAGTGATAATGCAAATTTTAAAAAGCAAGCCAATTTCAACCCTAATTACTAAGAATTAAAGTATACTTTCTACTAAAGTATACAATGTATGAATCTGAAAATTATGTTACGTCTCAGCACGTGGTTGAGAGATTACAATTATATTAAATTTAAAATCTTGATGCTAATAAAACCTTCTTGTATGTGATTTAAGCTACCACTCGCCGTTATTGTGTTTAAAATACGAAAATAAATACATTTGTTATTCTTAAAACGGTTACGGGTGTCATTTTAAATTATTTGACAGTGAAACAATCAAATATAAAACAAAAATAATATATGACGTCATCCTTAACTAGTATGTTATACATAAAATAATACTTAACATTTCAAAATCTTAGTTCAATAAGGAGATCAAGATCTCTGTCAAATAAGGTTTGTACAGATTTGGAAATCTAATAACCTAGATAATTTTAATACAATTTAGGTTTAAGCCAAATATTATTGTGATAAAAAGATGTTTCATTGAAATAAACTGTCAAAAACTATGGTTAAATATTAAGCGGGTTTTCTGTAAGTGCAAAAGCAACAGCTGTCTCAATTAGCCGTCTAGATTATTAATGAGGCCGTCTGCTACATCGCCGGTGTTCCTTATTAATCATTCATAGCAACTGGTTCTCTTAATATTTTTTATACACAAACATTTCATGACAACTTTAACGTGACACATACGCACTAAAGCGAAAGTAATTTCTCGTATGATGAAAACATTGCTTTGAGTGCATTTAATGTTTTTAAGTGGTTGAATAACTGAAAATGACACTGAAACTAAATGCTACGGTTTGAGATCACGTTTGACATTACTAAGTCGTGATGAACTTGAGTAGATTGAAACATCAATCAGACATCGTAAAAAATATCAAGGAGCTTCTGGTAAAAAGTATGAGAGGTACAAAAACAGGATGTTAAGACTTAAAAGCTTTCGTTAAAGTTACTTAAGATAAAGAAGTTTTGTAAGATAAATAATCACATTTGTTTTAAATATGAAACTAAATGACATTGACAGAATGTCAATAATTGTCAAAAGTAATTGATAATGGTTACATACAAAAACGTCATTACAAGTACCGAATTAGCTTCGGAACAGCCAACAGCGAATGTCACGGTCGCCAACTTCTTCTAACTGGTACTATTGACATTTTCACTCTTTGTCTCTGCCATTCGAAAAGGAATGTTTGCTGTTAGAGGCTGGATTGATAGTGAAACCTCAATGGTCTCGAGATAAGATTACATTTATTTTCCAATGCTGACCAAAGATGATAAATTTCAGCAATAAAATATTCGTTTTTTTTTTATTATAAAATACATAATATACAACATTTAATAGATTGTATCCATTCTAAGTGTTTAAACAAACATGAAAAATATATGTAAAATTAGAAATATTCTTTAAATTATGGTACAAAATAAAATGTGGTCTTTATTTTTTGTTATGTTTTGTATGGACGGTAAAATGTTAGAAGCTTAAAAATTACGATCCAAACAAATTATAAAGAAAGAAACAAAAATAATACAGGTCCCACAAAAACCTCCAACATCAGCTGTCTGCATAAATTCGATACCCTATCCAAAGTTGTTTAAAACATGCGCCGCGCTCACTTCGATGCCAAACGAAGGCGATATATGAGTACATATTCACAGACAACGTATGAAAACAATTGCTTTATCTTCAGATAGGGCTGCCAGTTTTTACGATTAAAATCGATAAAATTATTTGTACTTAAAGCAATAATTTCCCATCACTATTGAAAGATTTTTAGACATCAATATTTTGACACTAACATTTTTAAATAACTCACATAAAGTTTTAAATTTTGCTCTTAAATGCCTTCACAGTCCATGTTTTGAAATACAAAATATATGAAGTCGATTGAGATATTCTTACCAATACTAAGTATTTAAAATTTCAAGTAAAGCAGTATAATTACATTTTTAGTTTTATCACATCCTCTTATTTAACGCAAATAATTTGTATGTACGTATGAATGTACGAATCAAATCTTATCTTATCTTAATCTTTTGGAATTTTAATGGAGTTATTTTAAACCAAAGGAATTGTAATTTTGTAGACACATTCTTATTGGATAACAATGAAGTTATTGTTTCATTAAAAATTGTATCTGTATTTATTTTATTATTTTCAAAGATCAAAATAAAAGATTTTTGTAAAAGTCCTTTGCTTTGCTTAATGACATTAAATAAATAACGTTATTTGATGTTAAATCTGACAAATGACAGTGACAGCCCTTATTCAAGAGACAATGCTAGTTACATAAGAGGTATCGTAATGTCTCATTGTAAAACACCAGGCGACCGAACGTATGTTATATTGCACAATAGATATTCGGCAAACTATATTACAAGTGTACAATTGTATCTCCTTTCCCTTTGTACATTATCGCAGCTACGTTTTATTAAAAGAAGACAAAACGTGTCGTAAAACGACCGAGAGTCTATCAAGGCAAATCGGAACAGACCTCTTTTGTTACAATTATCATCTGGTTGTGATTGAGATATTAAAATTAAAAAATTTCGAGTTATCTATGGTTGAGAATGAGTGAATAAACCATAAAAATAAGAAGTCATATTGCCCATTATTACATTAAAAAAAAAATCTTTACAAATTTTGCTTTTTGCGAATCGTAATTTAAATGACGGACATATATACAATTAATTTAAACATTGTTTTTGATAAAATTTATTACTGTTCAACATTTTCGTAATTGGTGCCGTTGACTTTTAAGAAAATTAACCAATTAGTAGCAATTAAAATTCTAGAGCAGGTTAATTGTCATTACACCGGTAAAATATCAGGAAAGATTACATTATATATTTAAAACCTATTTAATTGAGTCTTTATATGATTAAACTCAAAAATGAACGCTCTTTAAATGTAAAATATCCTAAAGAACTAGCATTTAAATCGGGCTATGAATCTTTCGACTTATTAGTTACGAGATGACATTTCTGTTGAACGCATTCATTATCAAGTCTGTGTACAAAAGCCGTGGAACACTGACATTGATGGGTTGTCGTGATATGACCTTAACTGTCAACTCATAGGTCTTCAGTCTTCAAGATCCTTTCATTTGGACCACATTAAGGGACGTTTTTTATAACATATTTTTCCTTATACGACAATGCTTTTTGCGATCGCATTTAAACATAAATTTAAAATAACTCGTCCAGTAAAAGGTGATAAAACGACAATCATATTGACAATAAAATGTTTATATATTTATAAATAAAATACATTGTGAAACTCGTGAGTTTTGCTATACTATGGCATTTTTTATTTTGATGTGATATAAGCAGGTTTTGAACACACCCACTTAGTAGTACAACTGTTATGGAACAAGCAATGATGATGGTACTTCAAGGTTTCTATAGGAGTACTGTTTAATTTAGGCTGTCCAAAACCTGTTCAATTTCTTTAATTTTCATACATTGGAAATAAACGTTTTAATTTGACGATAAAGTTAGTAGAATTTATTATAGGTACCTACTGGGTAGGTTTCCTAATGGAAGAGAGTTCATCCTGAAATTATAACTAACTTAATGAGCATTCTTTCGAAATTTTATCTCATTATGTTTGTCTTGTTTGTCGGAAACAAGGTTTTTTTAATGTATATATCAATGTTGTGGTTATTATTAAAAATAATGACAGGCTGTCGAGTCTACTGAAAGTAAAAAAAATAACAAGTGGCATGTGTATAATTTATGTGTACAAAAACTGTCCACTGTTATTCCGAGTTTCTGTAATCTGTGGATTCATAAGTACAATTATCGTTTTAACCTTTTTAGTCATACGAATGTTGTGATTTATGAAAAATAAAATAACCTGTCATTAAAATCTATGTAATTATATAAAAGCTATGTTTATTTTATTTTGAATGGTCCAATTAGTTTCTATCTGAAAGGTTTTCCCTGTATATTATGAGGTTTTATTTTTATGTCAAACATATACTTTACTTCTAGTTAAAATAAAATCGCAAGAATATCGTAAGAGTAATATTGTTTTGTTAAAGAGTTTTTTTTAAGGACTTTAGAATTAAGACGAAATAATATAATGTTGATAAATTGTCAAAATCGGTTTAATTATTCTTGTTACGAATAAAAATCTAAAGTTGCTCCCAAATAAATGCATAGGATAAAAACCTAACCTTTTTAGACACTCTACATTTATATTTATATAATAACAATAACGAAAACTAGTTATGGTGGCATTAAGCAGACATTAAAAGATATAATATCTTTAGTATGAAAATGATTAGGGGAAAGTGGGGGAAACGCGAACACCTAAGGGAAAACATAAATAAAACAGTGGAATCAAATCACAGAGTTTCTTTAATTATTGAATTATAAACTTTACTTATCTAGTTAGCGTATTACTAATCAACATTATTATTTTTTTTATAAAATAAAACAAAATGACCAAAAAATCAAAACCCTTAGTGTTCGGTTTTACCCAACTGATGTCGGGTAAAGCCGAACACAAAATGGGGTAATCACGTACTAACATTACTAACGACATCTATCACATTTGTAACCCGCCGATGTTGACTGTCCGTCAGTGCAATTCTCGTGAGCCCATTTCTCACACATGTAACACATTATCCAGTCTTCATCAGGGGGCTTTTTCGGCTAGCTCTTTCACACGGTCGAATTTGTGAGGCAGACGGTTCTTCTCTGCATATTGATACGCAATCTGACGAATTTTTTTTTATGGTTAGACCATAATAAAGTTTACTGCACTTTATGATATAGTCGACCAATTCCTTTTCTTGCTGGTCTGTGAAGAGCGGTCTTCGTCCAGTCCTTGGTAATTTTATAGATGCCTTCTTTAAATAATCATAAATTGTAGTTTTTTGAATTCTATAAGTATTTACTGCTCTGCCAATGTTGAGTTTCTTAGTTTGAACATCGACTATAGCCCTTTTGAGATCCTCTAAGCTGTATTTAGTTTCGGTTTTTCTTTTATAATTACGAGGCATCTGAAACAATTTATTTGATGTTTAGCATCATCAAAATCACCTGACAACATAATTTAGTGCCACAAAGAAATCAACATAGACTGGAAAACACTATACCCTATTTGCCAGTGGGTAGTTGGAAAAAAAAAAATTAACAGGGAACTAGCAAAAAAGGAGAGAGGGGTAATGCCGAACGTTCGAAATTACCCGACATGAAGCGTTCGCCTTTACCCCACCGGGTCGAAAAAAAATAAAAAGGCAAAAATATTGTAGGTTATATAACTTTTACCAAATGCGTCACTGTCATTTGAATGGTTAGTATGTAAATTTTCCACTATGTAAAGGTTAAATAACTATTCTCAATAGAACTGAAGCCACACCAAGTTCAATTTATCAAAACATTACATCGAAAACATTGAAAATATTAAAATTGACATACCTTGAAAAGTACGTGCGTCTGCGTCTCCCGTGTCGTTGACTGGCACAGGTGCTGGCGTGATCTCTGAGTTACCGGGGAGTGATATACGGCTATATCTTTCTAACACATTAAAACTATTGGGTTCGGGATTACCCCGCGTTCGCGTTTACCCCCCTTTCCCCTAATAGCCAGAATAAACAGAAAGCAGATTCATTCAATAAGCATTTGACCTTTGACTGAGATGTTACCGATACCGAGCGAATCTCGGGACAATGTAGCCGGCAATGAGATAAATAATATTCGTGTCATTGCCTACCAGATGTTTATTAATGTAACACCTACCGAGGTATGAAACAACTGTAATTTTGGATTTGAAGTTGTTAAAAAGTTCTAAGTAATACAAAATAATTACATGGACGTTGGAAATGTATACAGCTTCAATTTAAAAAAACTTCAATTGGTTAACCGCATGTTCGAACGTTTCCAAATTTACCCGTGATATTGAATCCTAAAAATGAATATAAAAAGGCTAGAATGTCGCAAAATATTTATTTCTATCGTATTGGTATTGTATACCAGGCTCCTTTATACCATCGCATCGCTTCCTTTCAGCGCGGTGTCCATCGTCACATGACACATCATGGTTCCCCAATAGTCGCTATAGGGTTGAGAGTTTTTCATGGGATCGCAATTGGAAGTTCTTCAAGAAAGGAGCGGATAATAACTTGAAGGGTTAGTAACAAGAATATAATGATCCTGGCATTACGGTCGACATCATGCTATGGTAGCCTCTTACCGTTAGACGGACCTTACGCCTGTTTACCACGCATCTTAAAGGATCAATATAATTTTCTTGACAAGAGACGACTTTCATTTGTATTTATTTACTGGCTTTTCTGTAACTTTTTTAATGGGAATAATGCAAATTGAATGTGGTTGTGAATCTAATGTTAAGAGTTTATTTGGTGACAGATCAAGCAAATAGTAGATGTTAGATAGGACATCGCACACTGGAATCCATCCGTCTTCTCTAAATGCAATTTTTGAGTGTAACTTATTAAAACATTGCAGTATAACTTATTAACAAAACAGGCGTCAGAGAAGCTATATCTGATAAATTTCTTGATAACGATTAAATACAATTTTCTCACAGTACCTCATACAACTTCTACAAAAAAAACATCTTTTTACAATACTTAAAAGAAAGTTAGTCCTTGAAAACAATTTACCAAGGACACATCGCTTGCTTAATATGAATTTTTATTAGAAACTTAATAATGACAGATTCTACTTATTCTCTTTTTAGTTTCGAGTTGTAGCTCTTAGTCTTAATGGCTTTGATAGTATCACCGAGAGCCGTCTGTTTATCATACGAATAGAGCTATAAACAATTTTGAATTTGTTATTTTTAACAAGCTTACAAGTTAAGTAGAAATAAACGAAAATACTAAGATATAAAGGTTGCTAAGGTTCAACGGTGAGTCCTATGTGTGATTCCAATCATACTGTGACGTTTCCAGAAGTAGGTCCTGATGACACAAGTCAAAATTGAAAAGAACATTACTTTTACAGGTTTAATTAATATTAACATTCGTGTTGAAGAAATATTACTTACCATAAGACATCACAAAAACTCGTCATAACTTACCGCCACTAATTTTAATCTACTCTGTTCTTCATTAAATATATTTTTCAACAATTTATTATTTATCTAAATTTAAAAAAAATCTCTCACACAGTAGAAATCGTCTAAATAATAATTTATCACTCATTTTATGTTCCTCTAAATATTTTCATGATGTATCAAATAAAGATTATACTTCTTTATTAATATTTTAAAATGGTTTAACGAACCATTACTTCTGTGTCTACAAAACTAATCACCAAAGCAAAAAAGCTCAGACAACATTCTAGATCAATATGAGAATTTAAGTGCAATTTTAATTATTACTATCAAATATGAGCCCTTATAGCAATTGGTCCAAGTCTCCTAAATGCAAACAGATAAGTCAAAATGTAATAATTTTAAAAAGAGCAGTTGTGATAAGAACGTATAACAATTTTGCTAAAATACTTCTCTCTGCAATACGTCTCCGTAAGTTAAAAGATGTTATTAACAACATTAAATCTTGTTGATTAAATCTTATTAAAGTTTAATAGTCGGCATGAATAATGTTGATCTGGATATAATGGTGGGAGATCTCAGGTTGGGTTGATTTTCTCTTTTTGTTTAATTTCGGAATCATAAATCGGAATGGTCGTGTTTGCTCAAATGACGCGGTACACAGAGTTTGCCTTTTAAACGTGTTTTTGTAAAACAATCTCTCATAAATATTCCTTAAAAACACCTCTCCTCAACGTAACTTAACTAACTCAGTGTCTACAATGAGTTTTTATTATCTATAAGCTTGTTTTCGGAAATGCTTTTTGTTGTATTAGAAATTGAATGTTCGCGGAATTCAAAATGATTGTCTTAAACTAGAAGGTTGAAATTATATTACAAATTTAATCGGTAGTAAAAAATATACTGATTTTTTTTCCTTTATTTACCTTAATGCTGTTCAAATAAATTTGAAACACCTTCAGGCATGAATTTCACCAACTACATACATATGCTTAGAAATATTCAATAAAAAGGTTCTTATCGCTGCTTAATTTCAAACCGGTGCAAAGTAAACAAAATTTAAAATACCTTAAATTTTTATGTTTTCTTATAAATCCATTATTTTTTATTATAGGTTAAGGTCATACGTAATAGAAAACGAAACAACTAAGGTAATATTTTGAGCGGGGACAATCATCACGGGTGGTAAAACTTAAAATTCAATAAATTCTTTAAAGAGTCATAAAATTCTTACATACCACATTATCAAACATTTAATTGCCCTAATCTTTAAAACAAGATAAAATCTAAAAATGTCAAATTTATCTTAGATACAAAAATAAGAACTTTGAATCATATTATCTTTGTAAGTAAATAACGTAAATATAGTATCAACAAAAGTAAGAAAAAGAAATAATAATATGAAAATTATCGATTCAATATTCAAGGTCGCCGTTTATTATTATGGAATGAAACAAAAGCAAACATTTAAAATGTCTAGTTTTAAAATATATTTACAACAAAAATATTATTACGACCTGTTCAAAGACAATAAAATCAGAGTAATTTTCACCTCTCATACAAACTAAATTTAAAATTTACTCGATGTTCATCACATTAAAACTTTTTATTTCACAATTGCAGTGTGAATGAAGCTATGGCGTACAAAAAATTGATTACGGTTTTTCCTGCACTCGGTAAAAGGTGAGGACTTGCAAACTCAAGAATGGTAATAAACTCATTGTCAATAATGTATTCAGTGAAAATTAGCTTAATTCTTATTAGTTATATGCATTTTTTTTGCTTGTGTACTTTTGATTTGAACGTGACAATACTGTCATATATTTCTTATTCAATGATGTTTTACTGGACTTTACGTATTGAAAAAACTCTCAGTCAGTCGAAACCAACGCTTTATATATGTAGAATTCTACACACATCATATAAATCAATACTAAATTATGTAATTATTCTATTATAGGTACGCCAAATATTAATAAATTATAAAGCTACAGAGGTGACAAACAATAAGATGGAGCATCTGAAGGAAAAAAATATCTTATTCTATTATTTAGCGGGTACTTAATGTGAAGACACCATACTGTAATTTAAACTTCACCCCTCATTTGGATTGATGTCACTACAATAAACATGAGGTTACATTTGCAAATAAAATGTACGATTTAAGATTTTTATAAACGGGGCTATCAGCTTTCCGGACGCGGCATGAAAATAACTTGAGGCTGTCATCAATTATTATAAAAAGTTATAGTAATCATGATTATTGTTAAAAGTAAAACGAAATCAAAGACTGTTTAAAAGGAGCATAGAACTATGTTTGAATGTTGGTATAAATATGACGTCTGGACGCACGATGCCAGAGTACAGTGAGTGCGGACCATTGAAGAAAGTGATAATGAAGAACCTTCAAGAAATATAGGAACATTTAGAACAATTGAAGTTTCATTTTAAAATATCATGGAACGTACTGAAAGAACTGACATTAGTGACGTCAGCGAGGCTGGCGTCTCTCTTTAAAAACAACGAATTTGTATTAAATCCGATATATATGTAGTGGACTTCAAGCGAGTGCGAATGTAAATATATCAGTCTTTTAACCTTCGTTTGTGGTCGTTTTAAATAAACAATACGGTGACTGTTTTATTCAACACTGTTCATGTAAAATTAAGAAATCGTTTAACAATGAATTACGAATGGTCCAGACAGCGTTGTTAGGAAAATAATTTTAATACGGCTGTTACGAATAATAATAATAATTTCTTGTTACTACAATATCATTAATCTGTTGAAATAACTAACAAAGTAACAGTCAAGTATCAAAAAATAAAAGAAAAATATTTGGGATAAGAAATAAAAACTCATTTGAACCTTTTCATATCTTACCTAAGTTAATCGAATTTATATAAAATACATGAGGAACAAAAACTCTTTGGAATATCCTTACATATCTTAGACTTTAGAGTTGCCAGATGATAAAAT